CATTCGGCGCTTGCAGTGGTGAGTAAGCCTAAATGTTGGCGACTGCTACAAAGTGGCCGCGAGTAGACAAGATCAACCAGTTCTATCGGAGTCGATCAATAACGTTTCTCGCAGCCGTGTACACTCAGCAGCGTGCACGGTTATTCCATGACGCGTCTCGTTCCCTGGAAGCGACTGCAGGAGCGGCACTCCAGGAGCCGCCAGCGGTGACCGATGGGCTACGGGAGGCCCACTCGGGGATGTGTTGCAAGTGCGGAGAAGTAGGAAAATGACGAGGGAAAAACAAACAAAGCAAAAAGAGCCTTTCCTCGCCATTTCTGGATTTGTATATTCTTGCAAGCCCCCGTATAAGCTATAGTGCGGCTGCTGACACTCCTTTCTTTCTCGAAGAACCGCCTCGTTTTGTTTTGTTTTTCCCCTGCGTTTACTTCGAGTGGTTTTCTGGCCGACTAGGCATAACCTGCACTCCCCCACTGCATCCCTTCCTCTCGCAAGCGCGTGACAGCTTCGTGAGGCGTGACGCACTTCAACCACACGGGTTCTCGGAGTGCTGCTGTTCGGTTAGTTTTGGTTTCATCGTCGACGTTGTAGCTTAAACATCTGCGTCGAACATATTTCGTCTGGTGTTCTTTTTAAGCTCGGTGGACAGACCCACAAAAAAAGAAGATTAATCAGCGCAACTAAAAAAAAAACTTGAGTGCCGACATAAACCATAGTAGGCGGACCGTATGCGCCGCCTAACGTCAGAAGTGGTGAACCCACTTAGAACGCAAGCAAACTTAAATAGAAGATAGTGCGGGCTTGACGCAAAGCACGAGGTGGCAGTCACAGATGTTAAATCTGCAGGAGGAAAAAAATGTGCTCAGTATGACGCTGTGAAGTAGAGATGGTTCTATAATTGAAAACCTGCGTCATTCCGTTTCTGAAGGGTACAAGCAACCCATACGTCGAGATTTGCTTCCATATAGTATGCACCCGTACTGTAAAAGCGACGATACGTTCCGGTTTCCGTCGGCGCGGAAGCCTGTGATTCAGCTATTTTACGTTTGTAATATCTGTTCTTTCCTTTTTACACATGTCTCTAAACAGCGACGCTTTACTATCTGACTCCATCAAGCTCACGCACTATACAGGTAGTATTTTTGTCGAGCTACATTAGTTCAGGACACTTTGGCTGTCCCACCCCGCCGCGGTGGTCCAGTGGCTAAAGTACTCGGCTGCTGACCCGCAGGTCGCGGGATCGAATCCCAGCTGCGGCGGCTGCATTTCCGATGGAGGCGAAAATGCTGTAGTTCCGTGTGCTCAGATTTGGGTGCACGTTAAAGAACCCCAGGTGGTCAAAATTTCCGGAGCCTTCCACTACGGCATCTCTCATAATCATGTGGTGGTTTTGGGACGTTAAACCCCACACATCAATCAAAAATTTGTCTGTTCTAAGGGTTCTATAACTGCTGTAACTACAAAGTGCCACTTCGACCTGAAGCCACCCTGCTGTCCACATCTTCGATTACGGTTTGCTTAAAGAAACAAAGAAATGGAAAATCGCAATACTATATCCTTCTTTCTTTTTCCCTCTCTTCTTCTTCTAGCAGTAACTTGGGTTTAAGTACGCCCCGCCTACTCCATAAGAACGCCTATACGTGCAAAAAGCTCACCGCATTCACTCTGAAAGTCTTTTTTTTTTATTTTCCTGCATGGTTATACGAAGAAACACTGAGATACTCCGCACGATCCGTGCCAACCATAAGTTTATTTACTTTATTTATTGCATCGCTGTTGACTATTTACGTCTCAGCACGACCATATACGATTATGAACTACAACGTTGTAAAGGCCTCCGGAAATTTCGACAACCTGGGGTTTTTGTACGGGGTCCCAAATATAAGCACACGGGCCTCTAGCATTTTTTTTCTCCATAGAAATGCGGCCACCGCAGCTGGGATTCGATCCCACGACCTTCGGTTCAGCTGTCGAGAACCCTAGCCACTAGACCACCGCGGTGGGTCTGAATTTTTTTATATTTTTTTATATTTAAGGAATACTGCAGACATTTTTTCACCATCCTAGCAGGAGAGGGTCACATAAGGTTCCTAACACAGAGGTCAAAACTAGAAGAAGTCGGAGCGTGCACGCAGTCGGAAGGCAGTGAATTCCAGTCTTCAATGGTTCTTACAAAAAAGGAGTACTTGAATGTGTTATTTTTAGGAGCATATGGTCTTACCATTTTTGAATGATTTAACCTTGCTGAGCGCTGAGGAGGTGGCAGAATGTACAATTCTTTATTTAAACCAGATTCATTGTTGTATAGTTTATAAAATAAGACTGACCTTGCAATTCTTCGCCTACATTCCAGTGGCTCCAGCTCACATTTATTTAACATTTCAGAAACGGAGGAGAGGCGCCTAAAGTCTGAAAAAATGAACCGTGCGCTCAGCCGCTGAATCCTTTCCACTTTATCTATGTCTTTCTTTAAATATAGGTCCCACGCAAGGGATGCGTATTCTAGCACTGGTCGAACTAGGGTTTTATAGAAAAATTCGGCTGATTCCAAGCACTCGCCAAACGCGTCCGCTAAGTGTCCGCCACCTTCGCACTATCGATTGCACCGGGGCGCGTGCGCCTCCACTGTGCAACAGGTGCGAGCGTCGTTTCATCTTTCGGAAGCGCGAAAACTGACGCGTTTTGAAGCAGGCACGTTTGGCAACTGGAGCCGCGCACCCTGAGGCGGGGGCAACAACGCTCGCACGTCGGATTCCTCTACCGGCTTCAATCACCTGACGACAGTAATAGCACGAGAACAAAACGACGACACAGAGACAAGAAGGACACTCGCGTCCTTCTTGTCTCCGTGTCGTCGTTTTCTTCTCGCGATATAACTATATCGTCAACTAGCCCAACTACCAACTAGCCCAACTACCAACTAGCCCAAGCTACCACACTTCAATACCAACTAGCTCAAGCTGCCACACTTCAATCAGCTGTTGCGTTCTGCGTTTGAGGGCTGCAGCGTGGCAAAGCGCGAAGCGCTCCGCAAGGTGTGCACCCACCAGCCATGTGCCTTGCCCGCGGCGTCAATGGAGCCCTCGATCTGGTGCGGTCCTGTTTATACGAGCATGCCTACACACACACAGGTACATACGCCCGACGCCAGGGCGACGCGTGCGTCGGGCGCATATCAATAAGTCGCCTTTTTTTTGTTTATTTTTCTAGCGGTGTGTATAAGTACCGATCGCTGTCATTATCGGTCATTATGGGGCGTTCCCGTACACGGCCAATAATTGTCAGCGTAACGACCGCAGCGCCCAATCATCACACGTGCGTAGAAACCAACGACATGCTCGAGCGGAAGCAAAATGGGTGAATCAGGGTCTGGGTCGTCGATGGCAGCGCTCGTTTGACAGATGCAATCGAAGTGTTTTCTTTTATTCGGCCGCAAAGAAAATGGCTTGCTCTACATAAGTGGCCACGTTGGAACCGAGAAACGAGAAAATGAAAGTGATCACGAGTTCTTTTTTGTTTGTTTGTGTTTTTCGCCGCTGCACGCCACGTGACCACGACCCACAACACTGCAGGTAATGAAGGTAAGGCGTTGTTATGGCCACTGCGTGTGTTTTGCTGACAACCCGAACCTATATATCAAGTCACCCCTCATCTCTTATGTAACGTGTGAAACGTGCAGTCGACCGCAAAAGAAAGCCGCCAACGCGAATGCTTTGTAACAGTCAGGCGGAAATTTTCGCCTTGAATATTTTGTCAATACTTTAATTGCGGAATTAAGAATCCACTCATTAGCCGCGTTGGAAGTTTATTCCTTTTTTATATTTTTCATTTGCATTCATGTTTTATTCCATTGAACCTCGAGTGGCGTAAAAGAGAACACCGTAAAACTCTTTCATGTCTTTCACGTATGCGAATAGTTCCCGCTCAAGAATAATAAGTGAGCATTCAGAACACGAGACTATTTAAAGGGCCGATAGAATAACTTCAAGAACAATATGTGAGTTACTAAACATAAATACTTACCCTGCAATAGCGACCGCTGCTTATCTAGACGTAATAGTAATACCAATGAGAAGACAATGTATCAATTCCTCCTAAGATAGTTCCTTTTTTCTGTCTTTGCAAGAGGAAACGCAGCACACATAGTAATCTAGGGCGAAGATAGGTTAAGGCTGTAAGCGTAGTCCGCTTATAGTCCTAAACGGATTCAAATGCAGGGGAAAAAAGAAAGCGGAGACAAATCGCACCACTGACTTCTCTCTTTTACTTTTTCCTATCACGTTGCATTGTAATTTACTTGTATTGACAACAGAAAAGACAGGAACGATATTGTGCTTCGCCGTCCCACCGTTCCGACTGCCTAATTTGTTTGCTGACATTTGTTTTCACGATCTTTCCAGAGAAAACTGTAACCATCTAGTCCAAATCAAACATAGCCAAATAAAAAAATGATGAAGAAACGAAGAGAAATCTAGGAACGTTGCCCAGCTGAGACACCGCTGAGGAAAATGTTTGTACGTTTTCCCCGAGGGGAATCAGACGATTGCAATCTCTTCGCTGTCCGAAGCAATTAACGACAACACGACCGGTACTCTAACGGGTCCTTAATTCGTTATTCAGCTCGTTTCATTACAGCTTCCGCCTAATAACGAAGAAAATGAGATTTTACGTTACTCGCGTTATAGTTCTTTTTTCGAAGAGATTGCCTTCGATTGAACTGGAAGTCGGTGATTATTTTTTTTTTTTTCAGTGAGAAAACGACAAATTGGCCAATCGGGAATTTCATAAGTAAAGTGAGTACTTAGCTTCATAAAAACAGCATAAAGTCATCACTAAATTTTCATGAGATGAATTTTCAAAATTTAATATTTAGCTACTTTTAAGTTTCCTGAAAAGGGTCTATCATTTCATCACTTTTACCTAAGGGCGGATCACCTGCGTAGCGACTGAACTGAGTTATACTGCGGTTATAATTTTTTTTTCTATCAAGAGAGACTCACCTTCATCCAAGCAGCAACAACGACAAGCACACATGATGACGGCGAATCCCACCAGGGCGACCGGTCGCCTCCTCTTCGGACACCGTCGCATCGTCGTCATAGTTGTCATCACGTCACCGTCCGTTCCGTTTCCCAGCGCACTGCACAACACAGTCCAGTCCCGAGTCCACCAACCCGGCAGAGTTCGGTCGCTCCGAGGGTCCCAAACTCGCGTTGACTTGCGAATCCAGCTGACGTTCCTCGTTGCCGCCACCACAGTTCCACGAAGAGAAAGCTCACCGAAAGTACCGCCGGCGGGGTGTTTGGGAGGAGTGGAAAGAGGCAGGCGAAAGTCACAAAACACGGTCCAAGTGTTGGAAGGAATGAGGAAGAGTGGTGACGTGCCGCTGACCGCCTGTTGCGTTTCGTGCCCGGCTCAGCCCGGTTCGGCTCGAGCCACCGGCGGCGCGCCCCGGCGCATGTCGCGGGTTCGCTGCTACTTCACGTCGTCCTCGACGTCCGGGCTTCTTCGGGCGCTCCCGGGGCGGGCGCAGAGTCTGCGCGCGCTCTGGCCTCGGGCCTCGGGTTCTCTCGCTCAAAAAGCGTCGTCGTCCCCTGCGGCGGCGGCGTTCGCCTCGCCGCTAGCTCCGCGCACCGGCCCAGTGTTGACGTAATGGTTCGGCGAAACGCCGCCACTCCCTCACTCTCCTCCTTATAGGAGGAGGAGGAGAAGTTTGAGCGCGAGGAAAATGGGCAACCGGCAGCGGTGGAGAGTGGGCCGATGTGGCGGCACGGAAGAACAAGGGGAAAGGAAAAGTTGTCAGCTGAATTTGCACGCCACTCTGGCCGGCCTTAATTGAGTTTCACGGAGTACTCATCTCACCTTGAATGAACTTCGTCGAGGTGAAAGTGGAAGGAGCTGTCCTTAGAGGAAAATCCGAAAGGTCGGTGAATGTCTGCAGAGGTATTGTGCTTACAAACATTACGGGGATGAACAAATAGTTGATGTTATAATATCCTTTAAAAACTAGCATCAATATGTTTCACCTCTACGTGCAGTTAACCTGAAGGGAGGTTGTGAAATTGCCAAACCGGACCCTTTACTCGCATAGTTTAAAGTGAGTCTCCTTTCTTCTAAGCATCCTCGTGACCCGTCACGTACAAAGCAGTACAGATTAAATCGAACCTTTCTACTCTGCTTAGTCTTCGCTCCCCCCCCCCCCCCCAACTTGATTATTTCCTGTAGACCAAAGTATCGAGTGCGGCACGCTCGTCTCTATCACCAACTTTTGAGCATCTTGCGATTTTGCGATTTATGGGTGTCATCGGTGTGTTCCGATGAACCGGCACAACGTTGAGTCATAATGAACCTGTGAACTAAATTTTACGTACATTTAGTTACATTTCTGAACGTTCTATTTTTCGAAAATATTCTGTTTTTCAAATGAGTAGTTTTTGAAAACAATGAACCAAACCTTACTTCCCCGTCCTGTCCTGAAAGAGTGCCTCCTCGCAAACGCGCAGAGCACAGTGGGTAAGCTGAACTTAACGACAAAGAAAGCAATTATTTTACTTGGGTCTAGCTTTTGTGACTTCATTTCCCAGCTTTCTATCAGTGCTCATTAATTTGTTTTAGTACTTGCACGCAGTCCTCTTAGCCTTCTCGGTAAAATAAAAGTACTTTACAGAAGTTCAACAGTTACAGCAGTTGATGTCGACTGGTTTCGGTGGTCGTTTCCAAATCCAACGCGCTCTCTCACTAGTGCATCTGGTGCTCTTAACTGTACGCATTCTCTGAATCCCTATTACTCTATTGCATAGCAGCAATAGCCCGCATCTATCTATCTATCTATCTATCTATCTATCTATCTATCTATCTATCTATCTATCTATCTATCTATCTATCTATCTATCTATCTATCTATCTATCTATCTATCTATCTATCCGTCCATCTATCTATCTATCTATCTATCTATCCGTCCATCTATCTATCTATCTATCTATCTATCTATTTATCTATCATTTAACTTGATTTCCTCCTTTTCATGGTCAAATCTGTTAATCTGTAACGAAAAACGCAGAATGCGAAAAAAAAACAGATGAATAATAGAGGTAATCTTTATGTTAATCGAAAAAACGCAGTTCCACTGCAAGGTCAAATCAATGAACGCGATAGCAAGAAATTGCAGTGTCTTGCGTAGTAAGGTTTGCAGCTAACTCTTTAGGTTCCCACCTCGTGTAACTCTACAGAAAGTTTGTGTAAGAGAATACGGTCACTCCAGGGGCCGAGGTGCTTTTCGTTCTCTTTGTCATCTCAAAGCGGAGCGAGTGGTGAAGGCACAGTCGTTATGCGATCCGTTTGCTGATATCCGCCGACATAGCGCGTGCGCCGGCGCTCGAGACCTCACCCTCATGATCAAAGTTTGCAGTTGCTGCTTGAGACACGCAGCCCTCCTCCCCCGGCGTTCCTTCATTCTCCTTTGCCCAATGAAGGATGGGTGGGGCGTTTCCTATCTGCTTGAGGAGCAATCGGCGGCAGGCCTCTAAAGTGGGTTGATGCTATCGCATGAGCCCTCCATCCAACCTATACGATCGGCTCGTTTAATCTCTGCTTCGGTCGCTTTCGTCACCAACGCTCGCGCATTGTTGCACGCGGGCTTAGCATACGATGCACGCGGTGATGTTTTCATTGGACTTTCTTCAGGAAAGCACGGTGACAGCAAAAGTTGGTCGAGATATTTCATACAATTGCTATCGCAGTAATAGTGTTATTGGAACGATTATACTAAAAGCCTCATTCAATTCTCCAGAAAAGTCCAGGGCGGTGTAAAAATGGTAGCTCGGACCCAGTTTATACATACAGTATATCTCAAGTCAGTCCAAGGATGCTTGTTAATCTCACAATTACCTATGAAGTCGGCGGTTATTACAAAATAGCCGATTCTTTGCTTTCCTCCTGCTATGCTTTCCTCCTGCTTACCTCCTTGCTCACTTCTGTGACGCCTCTAATGTGCATGCTCTTGATTGACATATATGTATGTGAAATTTCAAATGTAACTTGTCTCCTTCACTGCTTTGCCATGCAGCCGCCCATCAGTTCTTCCTCGTCTCGCACAAATATTATGCATGATCATCCATTCATGCCTCATTTTGTGCGTTTAAAACTGCTCAAAAGCGGCGATAACAGCGTACAGCCTAGAAGGGCGAAATCCTGATAGGCCTTAGCGCTTGGTGCTAACATTGTTTTAAGAACTGAGGGGCAAGGAGGGCGCAGTCGCGCGTGCGAAGGGTAGCGATAGAGAGAAGAGAAACACCCCCTCGCCTTTAAAGGAGATGAGGGGCCCTTTAAGCACACGGGTCCATTGCATATTGTCTCCGTCGAACTTCGGCCCCGGTGGCCGGGATTCGATCACGTGACCTTTGGGTCAGTGGTAGAACGCGATACTCGCTAGACCACCGTGTCGGGTCGCACACGTTGAAAAAAAAAAGCGCTTGTTACAAAACTGCGGAAGCAAGTGGCCGTAAAGAAACGTGTTTTTTTTTTTTTTTTTGACCCATCCCGCGGTTTCGATAATCATGAAATCCGCCAAAGCGCGTTTATTTCTATCGCAGAGAATCTGCGTTTGTTCGCGAAGCGCCAGCCTCACATATCCCTCACAAGCAACGACGTCACAGCTAACAAAACTATCGTTGTGAAAAGGAAAGTCTGTCGCGCCTTTCTGGTGTTTGCAAGGTGTGCACGCCGTGTTTACACAAGCGCAACAGCATTTGAGCCTACGCGTATGCAAAACCTCTCCACCGATCTCGACGACGTGAGTGCAGGACTTGGTCCTGTAATCCTTTGGCCCGCATAGCACAGCAGTTCAGCAGTTCGATTGCTCAATAGGCGGCCAATCCGCAAGCGATGGGGTCCTTCCTTGTGTTTATTTTCTTGTTTTCTTATATATATATATATATAAATATAAATATATATATATATATATAATATATATGTAATAATATATATATATATATTTATTTATTTATTTATTTATTTATTTATTTATCTTCATGAAGGTCATCCTGATGAAGGCGAGACTCTAGGCCGAAACGTCGAAATAAACCCCGTTGTGACCGCTCACGAAGGATCTACTGAACTATATATATATATATATATATATATATATATATATATATATATATATATATATATATATATAGAGAGAGAGAGAGAGAGAGAGAGAGAGAGAGAGAGAGAGTTTACAGAGGAACATATCAAGCATCAAGCACGTAGGGCCGAAACGTCCGTTTTTCCGGAACGATTTTTCCATACATTCTTTTGAACTTTTGTCTGTGCATGAGTACTTGTATGTGTGCGCGCCTTGTACGTCATTTGTTTTGATTGACAACGCATGACAGCGTGTTACCGAACAACCACATAATAAATTTGTTTGCTGGCTGCGAAGAGCTTTGAATGTCTGTTTTTGTTTAGTCAAAAGATCATAATGTATCTTGTGAAGACCCGAAAGTGGTTTCTCTTCCACGCACGCGCGTTTTACAGGTTTGTCGAAGCGTGTGTCTTGTTTTGCCGAAGTTTGTCGGTTGGGTGGTCTACATAGTACCAATTTTCGTATGAACAATAAGTGTCTGCAGTATAGATTTGACAATCTAGAGCTATAGTTCAGAATTGGGAGCAGTCGCCCCGCTTTGCTCTGTTTTCTAACAGGACACTTTTCGTAACTCCTTGGAGTGACAATAGAGAAGTACATTTTTTGTTTCGGTTTTTGTTTTATTGATCTCTAAGGAACATCGTGGGTTGTAGTTGAGGTATATGTCTACATGACAGCATTGTATCTGTACATGCTATGCACAGTTTCATTGAAACATAATCAAATAGAGGTGAAATATATAATGTGTGGTCTGTTGAAAAACAGAAAGAGGAAGATTGTTACTTCTGACCGAAGCTTGTCAGCTCTAGTTACCCCGTGTTGAAGTGCCACGTGTATACCAGCTTATGCGTGATTTCCACGCGCATTTTTTGTATAGGCACGATCGGGCACGCTTCGATCCTAATCGTGTCTTACTCACAGATACTAAACACACTTACGCACTGCCTTGTTCTGCATAAAACATGAGAACCTTAGCTGTTGGACCGCTATTCAGCATTCCTACTCAGCGCGGATTGCCCCAAGTGAAGCGTTGGTGGTCGGAAACGCCCTCGTTTGAATGGCCTTTATGTGCCTTTGCCCATCTCCTCCCTCTCTCTCTCTCTCTAAGCGGAAAAGCTTGCTACCACGAGGAACCTACATATCAGAGATAAAAGATTTGAGCTAGGTAATGCAAATTGACTACAGACTTGATTAATTGGAGCAAAATAATTCATAACTACTTGCGCTAATTATCATCGCGTCCAATATGTTTTATTGACTATGCACTGTGAGTTCTTTTGCGCTAATTAGTTATATTTTCTCACAAGGCTGGCCTTGAATTCGGTGACGTCACCCGACAACAAGACGTTTTTAGGCGAAGCTTCTATAGAATTTGATATTTTGTTGGCGGCATAACCCGGCGCCAGCAAGTGTACAAAAATGCGCGT